CAGTGGTTCGAGTCCAGCCCGAGCTGAGCAGCCGCTGAGCTGCCAACAGGTAGCAGGATGGCTCAGCTAAAAAAAAAAAAAAAAAAATACCCACAAAAAATTTAAAAAGGTAATTATTTCCACTAAAAATGTAATTTTGGTTTAAAACTCTGCATTCACAGCCAGTGGTCCAACTGGACTGATTTTTCTGTTACTCAACATGAAACAACAAAGAAATTGCAAATGAACCAATCACTATATTACTTATTTGCTCTTAGAATAAATTTTGGTCCAATTGTAATAAATATCTCTATCGGGAAAAAGAGTACCTTTGCCTGCTTTCCCTTTCATGGGAAGGTATTTCCCCAAACCTCTTATGGTCCCTGCATTGCTAACTCTGCCCAGGAAGGTGCAGAATTGACAGACAGGTGGTGTACTGAAGGGGAGGGGCTGGCGTGAGTAGACCCACCTCTTCCTCCTCTTTCACTTCAGGATGTGCTATTGGAAGAGAGAGCACGTCCCTCTGAGGCTACAGCCTTGGGCTTTAGAGACCTGAGCCTCCTATGTATGTGACACACACAGGCTCCTGTCACTGTCCTGGCTCAGGGATACGAGTGTAACTGGTTGGGCAAATCTGTGTAATTCTGGAGATGAGGATCAGGTCATGTTTAAAATCACTAGAAATAGTTTGTTATAACATTCTTATACATTTTTAAATGAAAATTTTGGTCCCTACCTTCCTTAGTCCTTTTTCATTGATCCAGAACCTAGGTCTTGTGTTTTTTAGAGCACACCCTTTCTCTCCCCAGTAAGCCCCAAAAATTTAAAGTTTTTTTTTCCCCTCTAGTCACTCATTTTTCTTTTTTGTATTTTTATATTCAGTATACAGATATACTTTTATTTCAGGATTTGCCATCTATTTATTATAATAAAATATAAAAACAGTCATGAAATATATTCCATAGCTAAAAATCAATATACCCTAGGACTGTAATCTTTTTCAAGATTGATTCTGCAAATTGAGTAGCTTATTTAGCTATTTAAACAGTGATGGTGTTTACATATCATTATCCAAAGAGAATCAGACTGAATTTCATATTGATAAATAGTCTGGAAGCTATAAGATGAAATAAATGGGAAAAATTATATATAATGAAGAAGTTTTTTTTTGTAATTATTTGTCCCTATAGGAAGATAATTCAATCACTGGCTTTATCTATCATAAAATATCCCATTAAAGGCTTCAAATATGCTATCCAAAGTTTTATGCATAAGTCAATATGATGCACGAAACAACTCTTGGGGGATAAAACAAAACATTATTTGTTTATTTCCTTTCATTACTTTAATACTGGTAGTGAGTATTTTACACTGAACTTATTTTAAAGTAATGTTTAAATTTAGTTGAAAATCTAGCTAGGAGGCATCTAGTTATAAAATAACTGGCTTTTGTTTGAAATGTTTGCATATATATATATATATATATGACATCTTCAGTTTGTTAGCCTTAGAGTTATTCCTTAGTCTTATTTAATTAAGGAGAGTGAGAAAGAATTAGCTCAAGTTAAATACCACCAATCTCAATTTTTAAAAAAAGGAGTAATACAATTTTATCTTCAATCAGGTAAAACATATGAAGCTAAAATATACGTCTAGCAACAAAAAAGGTTCAGTGTAATTACAACAGCAATAATTTAAAAATTGCCTGAAACCAACCTGGTATACATGTTAATTGCAAATAGTTTATATCCTTCAGCTACTTAAATAATTTCATGCATTTTAGCTAAATTATTAACATCGCCCAATGGGTATTCCTGAAGAGAAATATAAGTAACATTTAGAGAAGAAGATTAATTCCAACAGAAAATACCAGGAACATTAAATTGCAGAAACATTCAGAGATTAGAAGGTGAGTTAGGGTGTAGCAATTCTACCCACCCCCTTTAAAAAAAAATGCTTGAACAACACTTCTAGATAACTGAAGTAAAACAACTTGGAGAGAGCATTTTGTAATCATTGGAATAGTCAACCTGAAAAAGTGATTTAATCTCACAAAAAAACCTGCAAAACAAACACTAATCTTAAGGCCAAAATGCAGCATCCATAATGCCAAAACAGTGAAACAAATCAAAAGGTGACCATAATTTTCATACTAAACAACAAAAATGTCTCCTCTTTGACTTGTCTGTCTTCCCTCTGTTCCTTCCTTTCTTCTTTGGAGGATATATGTTATGTTCTGAAATTCTTCTGGGTACCCCACATTCTTGATATAATGGTAGCAAAGCCTTACATGTCTTTCAGAACCACTGGATTTTTTTTAAGTGAGAAGTTATAAAAATCATTTTTTACTTTTACTTCAGGTGTTATTGCATTAAGTCATTGACATTACTAAGTCAAATAGACATCGCTTTCGCAGAATACATTTTCACAATTATTGGGATAGTTTGTAATTTTTCGGCTATCCACACTACCTTAAAAACATTGTCCTCCATTTATACCAATCTTCCAGAGACCCCCGTCACACGGGTGTTTCTCTCCCCCTTTCTACTAAAAGAAACTAAATATCAGAGTAATTCCTAGTTTTTAAATCTCCCCCATTGATTAAAAAATTTAAAAGACGATCGGAGTCAGGATTCAACACCAGGTTTGTCAGATCTCTTTGTCTGATTTTAGTGTTACTCATTTATGGTGGAAGGTAATGGAAAGATAGCATGTATTCAGGGCCAGTCTCTTCTGGGTACCTGAACCACCTACATCTGTCACCTCTGAATCCCTACGATGATACGGCAAACTTCCATTTCCTCAACGTGCCCCGGGGCCTACCTTTCCTACCTCTCCACGCCTTGCTCGGGGCCTGATTCGCTCCAATTCTGAATCTTTATTTAACGGACCTGTTTGTTCTCTGGATTTGCTTTTTCCACTTAGCCTTCTTCTTGAATTAGATCCCAGTTATCTTCAGTATATATCATACTTTTGAGATTTATTTAGTGAGCTGGACAACCTCAGCCTCCCAGCAAAGTATACTTTCACTTGTTTATTCATTTAACAAATATTTATGGAGAACCGATCATGTGCCAAGCACTATTGTAACTATGGGGGCAAAGTGGGGGCAAATTCAAGCAAGGTCCCTGTTTTAAGGAAAATGTGCAGGAATGACAAACACACCAGGCAACAAAACATTTTCATATAATAATAAGCACTATAGAGAATGCAAAGTAAGATCATGATGTAGTAGAGAATATCAGGGGTCCACTGGACACTATTGCTGATAAGATGGTCAGGAAGGACCTGAGAACGTAAAATTTGAGCAGAAAAAATGCAAAGACCATTTGTAGCTGACAAATGGAGGATGATGAGGAAAGAGAAAGATGAGGTCTGAGATGAAGGCCAGTGTCAGATCATTCACAGAGCGCCTTCTAAGCCATCACAAGACATGTGGATATTATTTCAAGTGGATAGTTACAGGTTTTAATGAAAACGAACACTTTGATCTGTTTCAAGTTTTTAGAAGATCTGTGTAGAAGATGGACCGTAGGAATATTCTGGGAGACACAGGGTGATGATGACCTGGTCTGGGGATTTCGGGGTAGAAGTCAGGAAAGAGCTAGATATATATTCTGGAATAATAAGCTGACATGAGTTGCTGACAGACTGGACTGGCAGGGGAAATGAAAGGAAAAGTCACTATTTCCACGGTTCTCCTGTTCAGTTTTATCCAATGCTGTTCACTCCAGGAAAGCGTAACGTACATTTCTAAATGGAATGCTGGCCCATTATTTAAAGTCATACACAAAATTAAATACAGGGAAACTCTGGAATTTTAAAATATCCTAAAATTAAGTTTTAGGAAAATGTCCTATTTTTCCTCTCGGATATTACATCCCAAAATATCATTTAAGTGCATTGAAAAGACTGAGTTATATATCGCCATAATAAAACATGTATCAGATGATATTAAATCCTAGCTTTCTTAATTTTTATAAATTTATAAATTGATGGAGGAAGAAGTTATACTATTAACCTCTACTGTCGTATTATGCATCACAATTAATATTTATCACTCTTTTCATATATCAACCACAATCAGAAATATTAAAACGGTGCTAACAAAAGGTAATTTTAGACCTTCAACATTTACTCCAGAAAATCTCTCCCAATGTCTATAAACTTAAGCAATTGACCCCCACATGAAACCTCATTGCCTATCATTCATTTTTTAAACACAATTTAGCACATCACCTGGTATTACAGAGTGTAAAAACTATGCCCATATTTAATGTATGCTATTAGGTTGTAAATTGCGTTCAGGCAGAATAAGTGGCACCTATCTACTTCACTGTGGTGAACACCCTCCGAGGCATTTAGTCATAACTCAATAAATGTGTTGACTCACTTAATGAATGAATCCTAGATCTATTCAAACAGCAGCTCCCCAGATTAATCAACACATCTCCTTGATTTTATACAGTTTTACACACAAGCACACACAGGCACAAGTATTTGCAAAGAGTCGTACCTCCCAGAGTAGCAGAGAGCAAGAAATGTGTCCCATATTTCTTGATAAGGTTTTCAGTGATTTGCTGAAGGGTAGGTCGGCGTCCCAAAAGTCTTATGTTGCGGAAGAATTCAGGGGCAAGAGGCAGAGGGGAGCCAAGGAAATTTCTTCGCTCAACTGCAAGGTTATTTACTTTCCAGCGGCCAAACTCCCTGAAAAGCAAATTTATTTTTTATTCATAAATACATAATCTATCTGAATGTTTTCATTTGAGAAGTTCACTTGGTAGCTTAGCTGGGGTCACTACATGACAATGCTTCTTGCTTGTAATAATATGTCATGTGCTATGAGTAGGAGAAGCAATATTTATAATTTATTTAACTGGAGTGAATATTCTAAAACCAAGTCATAGAGAGGAAAAATAAATAAGCAACTTGAAATAAACAGCTTCCACTGTTTTTGTTTTGTTTTTTTCTCCCGAGGAAAGGTGTACTCATAAAAATGATTTCGTTATGCATAGAATATGAATGTAGATTTATTTTTTAAAAAAGAAAAACTAAGGTATTTTTATATTTTCTAAGGAAAATTTAGAAAAAAGAGAATTATTTTATTTTCATCACTCTAATGATTCCTTTCTCCATTCCCTTTAGAGTGGAAACTTGTAAAACATCAAGGATATTATGAAGGTATGGAAGAATTTTAAAAACATCAAAAGAGAAACAGGGTTTCTTTGCTGCTTTTTTTTTTTACAATAATTATTGTTCACAACATACTTTGAAAGACAAATTCAACTTGATTAGCAATTTCTCAAGCTGCAAAATGACTTTTAAGGTGGATTTGGCCAAAATAGGAAAACGGCACGTATGGTTTTAAAAGAACTTTAACAAATTTATCTCATTTCCTGAAATCAGTTTTTAGCACTAATTTAACAAGAAAATGTATTAATGTTCACTATTTATTGTCTATTACTACCAGAAACTTACTAACAATATAGAGGAATATAAGAAAAATTCTGATCTCAAGGGCTCAAAGATGATACCAAACAAGATTAAAATGGGAATGAATTAAATGCAATTCAAAGGCTTTAAAATATTTTTGATGTAAAAAAATACAAGTGGGCAGTCACTTATTTAGCAAACTCCTTTACTCAATTTATCACTATTCTTTGATATGCATGTTACTAATCTAATTCACTTTGAATATGCTTTCTCTCCCTTTGAGTCACAGACCTTTTAAGACTTACAATGTAAGGCTATGAAGAGCCCAGGCTGTGGCCCAGTTTCCAGGGAGCTTTCTTCAGCCCTCAGGTACCTTTTATGACCTCGGTCTGTTGACCTCCATTAAGTTTATAGTCATGGTTCACCTTCTAACATTTTAGGTGGACAGAACACTGTGCCATTCCATTGGGTCTACATATCCTCTATCATGCAACAACCAAAGGAAAGGACAAACTCTTCGGGAGTACCAGCACACTAAGACCAAAACGGATCAAGCAATTAACTAATTCAATCAATTATTTAATTAAGCAGCATTGTTAGTAACAATAACCAACTGTTGTCTTAATTTTAAGAGCTAATTACAAATCTAAAATTTTTCTCTTAATTTTATACACACACACACACACACACACACACACACACACACACACACGAGGTAAAATGTTACAATTTCTGTTGTGTCTATCCAAAAAATGTAATTTGTATAGGAGTCATAAATGTCGACTTGAGATCTGAGATTTCTCATTTCCACTCACCACAGTTGGTTTGTACTGTAATGATATATGAACACTGTTATAATCTCTATAATTTTGGAGATAAAATCCAGATAGACAACACTGAATTAATCCTGAGAAGTGGTGATAAGGGCACTTTCAGTGAAGGAAGTATCTCTGGACACTTAAGGGCTACTGGACATGAAGACACATACATGCTCAGTGTATCTCTTGCGTAAGCACAGGCTAAGGTCGCATTCATCAGCATCCTTTACAGTCAAGGTGGCCATCTGTGTGGCTTACTTGGACCAATAAAGGGTGAGCATGTCTGGTTAGCCTGGTCCATCCTTCTGGGACCTGGATCAATAAGGATGGTTGGAACCCCCATCCCTCAGCCCGACCCCTCCAGCTTACTGGGGTGAACAAGGGCATGAACTAAAGAGAAATTTTGTCACCTCAAGCTACCAAGATTTGGGGTTCATTACTTGGTTTATTTGCTTGCTTTCTAGAAATGTAATCTAGTACATCATGACTGACATAGAATATTCTGATGTTGGGATAACCTGGGAAGGCAATAAGGATCTAATGATTGTACATAAATTGGAAACTTAGAGGTGCAGTATTTTTGTTGTTTTTTTTTCCCCCTTTCCCGAAGATAAAAGTCACCTCAGTTGCAGCTAGACCAGATAGTCATTAAATTTTGGAAAAAGAAAGCAGTGAAGTGCTGAATTGAAAACACACGGGTTTTCGGGTATGGTTATCTTGAGAGCATTTTGCCTAAATGCCTCTAAGGTCTCCATCCAGAGGCATGATGCTTATATTAAATAGGAACACTGTTGTATTTAACTAAATGCTGCATTCTACCCAAAGCCTTCACAGAACATAAATATCTTCCCATCATAACCTTTGGATGTCTTTAAAAGAA